ACTGTATTCCGGACATGATCGCATGCACTGTATGAAGCGACAATCCGTATGTGTGTACCCAATAATTACCCATTTCCGTTCGATGAGTCTGTCCTACTGCAACCGACCGATTTTTGTGATTTTGAGTGGTATGGGAAACGAGAATCAGGCGGAGCAGGTTGTTGCCTCGTGTGTATAATAAAACCAAAAAGGGCCATGGCTATTACGAGTGTGTCATAGCGGATTGAAGAATTTTGTTGTGATGGTACTGCAGTTCATGACACGCAATCCAGATCACTCATAACTGCATCCTCCGCAGTTTTCCATGGTCATCCGTAGTAAAATAGTTATTTGAGAGAACTTCGGAGATACGTCTAACAAATCAATGTACAGTGTTTTTTGTGTACTGCTCAATGTCATAGACCAGTTTCAGCATTTAGCAGTCGAGCGCATGGTGTAGATACAGGGGGCTGAATGTCCATTTGTGGAAAGCCACAATAAACGTCACGCATTCTCAAAAATTTTCCGTTTGATAAACAGTGTCCACGTCCTAGGTGAACTAGGCTCTGTGAAAGCTCTACTTTTTAGAGGGACTGCTTCCCTCACCTGGACTCTATAAATGACAGTTAAGAAATAATGAGCAGTCACCGGTGGAAGGAGCGGGGTAGGAAAATTGTCTGAACGGGGGTTCGTCTTACGCTGTTTTCGGACGTAGTAGCGCCTATTAGAGTGTTAAAAAGGGCATAAATAGCTGTTCCATGCAGAAAACTACAATGCTTTGCTGGGCGTTTGTGTATCCAGTTGGACAACGCGAACAGGAAAATCGGAATCCTTATGAAAGTACATTGGGTTTGTAGATAAATAATCTATGAACGAAGAAAAACTCGTTAACATTGGAAACACCCTTACGGTTGACTGTGCCCAAAGATAAGACAATTTTTTGTAGATGGAGAGGGCGGAGCGGACCTTTGGTTACTGCAGGATAATAATGAAGTACTGGCTAGTATCACTTATGCTTGTGGGTCACAAACACCCGAATGAGCACTTGTGACGTGTGGTGAATCACCTCATTAAGTATGCGGTCGTGACCGATTACCAACCGACTTAGAGAGTGTCTGCGACGGTCACTCGTGATTTCCTAATCTTCACCGGTATTTGGGCCACCTCTGAGTAGTTGTATGTGGTTCGTTCGCTTCCTCTTGGATGTTTTTGGAATCAGGGCTTTTAGCCAAATCCCCTAGGTGAACTAACACTGGTCCGCCAACCGTTTATAGTCCCGGATATCAGCTTTTCGTTCTCTCACTTTGGTGGGCAAACACTTCCGCCACGAGAATGCAGTGGGTAGGGCTTCCTCAGCGAAGTCCATTCGAGACGCTTGGTCGTATGGGAGAATTTCACGAAGTGCGAGGGACGGATGACTCGAGACATCCACTCTCAACCATACTGAGGCGTTCGGAGGCAATACTGTGGCTAACCGAATAGTTGTAGATGGTCGCAGTTGAGCACTTGATTCAACTCGTGCCATCTGTAGGCTGTAATGGTTGGGGTTCGGGCATTGTTTCGCGTGTCGATGTCTGGGTGTACTCAGCGTGGAGTGATTGCTCAAGGTAGGTATTAGTCGAACGAAGTTCAGGAGTCAAATGACAATCCGGCGCGAGGTTATAATAACCTTCACCATTGCTTCAGATCCGGTAGATACTTTTAGCCTTTCCGTCTGCCAATCTGCGTTCACCCTGATTGATAGATGGATGTCGTGGTGCTCGTACATTCATTCCATTTCTGAACATAACCTTTTCGTTCACTTTTCCTGATACTTTTTGGCACACTTTCTTCTGATCTCATTCTCTGTCGTGGCTCTATCAGATCTGTAGCGAAAACGAAGGTCTGTGATGCTACTACGCGACCGGATTCCGTCCATCGTTGATTTTAAATACTTTTTTCAGTGATTGATTGATAAATGACTTTTGCTTCAACAATTCTGTGTCCATGACGGTGGCAACTCTATTAGAAACTGAAGTGACCTATTCTGAACTATATCATCTTAAATATCCTCGTGATGTTTCAGTCAACGTACAGAGCTGCACATACTGTACCACATCACAGTTACTTCCGTTTGATGCTTGTTTAAATTCTCCGTTTGCACGTGGGAGACATCCTTTTGGACAGAATGATCGCCTATCTTCGATATTTGCTTAGTTTGACACGAGTAGGATGGAGCCATTAAATATTTTGTTTTCTATGGAGTGTGCACTTTCCGAGAGTCCAGTATATCTAATCAGCTACCTTGGAATTTCTACATTGGGATGGCTGGCTGATGGGTCCCTCAAACACTGCTAGATTGTGGGAGTCAGTATGTTACTTTACGCTTCCCACCTGCCTGCAAAGCGGCTTCCTATTGTCTATTCAAAACGCATTTGGCAAATCTCTGTACCATGTATATTAGGGTAACGCAACCTAAAAGGCAATCCATTCAATATTAAGTAACACTGTTTACCCAGATCAATCGATCTGTGATCTCATGACTCTTCATTTCAAGTCCCTGGTTCTGCGCTGTCGCCTTTCATGAACTAGGAATGGGTCCTCGTAACTACCACNTTCTATTCATCATCATCTTAATGTGTGTGACAATGCGCTGTTCTTTCTGCATATGGCTTACAGCAAACGCTGCACAATTTTCAGTGAACCTCTATCATTAGACATTAAAACGCATACACTATTATCGGATGGGTGCATTTACTATCTGTCGAAGTAGTTCAGCCTCGTGGCGTTCCAGCTAATGTGTATTTGCAGTATCGGATCTTAATCGACTGGACTTTCTTAGCATTACACTTTAACGCCCACCGAGGCTTTTCTTACCATAAACTTCTTCGTTAGACCTACAGCTGGTTTGTTTCCGTTATACCATGATGCAGAAACAGATCACACTGTTTTGCGTGCTTATTACAAGATGAACAGATGAAATGTTTGACACCTGAACCAGACTGTTTTGATTTCTTCACGTTAATGACGTGCTCTCTAGCACGCCGTCTTCATTACTGCGACCGGAAGCATTAAGTCAGCGATCAGCGCTGAAAACGTGAAGAAGCGGAGCTACTTTGTCATTTATAGACTGATCAAAGACAAAGTACCCCAAAACACTTCATTTGTTCCCCAAGACAAGGGAGGTTTTATCAATCAGCAGCTCTTTATTTTAGGGCTTTCAACGTGAAGCAGCTTGCTGTGCGAAGAAGGTCTACCTGTCCAAAGTCGTACCTAAGATTAAAAACGGCATTTGTGGCGTCAGACTTGAACCATCGTGGTTCATGCAGTGCAGTGTAGAGCGGGGCTATCGTTCAAATGATTTAGTGCACGATGCGCAGATAGACTGACTACTAACTGAGCTGTAGGTCCATTTAATGGCGCTTCATCCTCCAATAGATGGTCGTATAACGTAGCTTGTATCAAACGTTTCTCGTTACTCTAAATTATCCATTGCAGCTGGAAAGAACTCAGAATAGTCTTATCACTGAAAGCCCACCTTCATTCACAATTTATCTTCTACGTCGTTTGAAAAGGTGAAGGGAGTTGAACAGTTTGGGTTTATGGTAACAGTAACTGAACAGTTTTGGTTGCCTTTCAAGATTGAGAAGCAGAAGGGAATTGGATTGTTGATCGCAGTATCAAGGTGAAAATAGAGAACTAATGAAAACCATGGACGAAGATATTGAGGAGATGCATCAGCGCCACTTTCACGGCATTCAGCTACATCATTCAGTGTTGTTAACCATCGGTTTTCGCCGTTCCTGTTCCATTTCGTCGTAGACGAAATACTGGAAAACGCACTATGTTGACTCCAAATTGTAGATATGGAATGGGCAGCTGGAGAAAAGCTGTGCGATTTAGAGTCTGCCGATGACATCGTCTGTCTGTTCGAATGCATGGAGGATGCGTAAAGCGCACTTGATAGATTAACAAGTGCATTAGTTACATTCGGTATGTGCTTTGCACCTTCAAAGTGCAAAGTGATGCTGCAGGACTGTGTTTCGTCTACTCCGCTCTGAAACTAAATGACCAGGATTTAGTTGTGGTGGATAACTTTTCCTACTTAGGTAGTTACTTGACCAAAGACGGTAGTGCATCCATTTCCAAGGCTCGAGCAGCATACGCAGGACTGAAACACCTATGGCGTAGACGCATTATTTCACTGAAGTTGGAAGGTCGTGTTTATTGTGCTATTGTTCGTTCAGTCCTGCTTCATGGTTGTGAGACCCTAAATTTGCGACTGGAAGTTTTCGATTATCGGTGTTTACGTAGTTTAGCCCACATTGAATGGAGCGAATGGGTTAGTAACGTGGAGGTAAGCCATCATGTGTTCGGTAGTCTATCAGGTATGCATCTGCTGGCACACCGAATTCAGATTAGTAGGCTTCGCTGGCTAGAACACGTATTGCATGCTCCCAGCTGTTGTCTGCCGCACCGCGCCTTATTCGCTGCAGCTAATTTGGGCTGGTGGAAACTGCGTGGAGGTCAACAGATGACGTGGAGACGAGGCATGAAAAAATGCACAGAACCATTAGGTAGAGTTGGTGTCTCTCACCTTCCAGGTTGGGGTGCGAAAGACTTCTCAACTGGTTGGTTGGATACATGAAAGGATATGGCAGCGAACCGACAGCATTGGCGTTCTTGTTGTCGTTTCTTATCAGGTGAAAATGCTTGAAACGGTATGTATGCAGAGTTCAATTGTGCTCTCTGTGTTTTGACCATGGAGTTCACCTTCTTCCACCTTCCTCGAAATTGGTCCAATCCGTGTCCACCTTAAATACTACCACTGACCTTGTATACATTGTAAGTTTGACAGCGATCAGTGAAGTTCCTCCACTGTAGATGATGATGATCTCTGTGTAGGAAGTCTAACGCGACCTACGTGGGCAAGTCCTGTGGTTAGGGTTTTCATACCCTCATATCTGGTCTTTGTTTCACAACCTTCGACTTTTTATACCCATTGCTTTCCTGGGCAAATATCGCACTCCGTGGCAATCTTTTTGGTGACATACGTAATACGTGCGCCACCCAACGTAGTCTATGGAGATCGAGCACTTGCTCCAGTGGGTGGTCCCGAGTACCTCAAACTCTGTACCAAACCTTAGCATTGGGTGTTCTGTTCCCCATTAAACTAATGCAATGCTGCGTCTACAGGCGGTGCTCGAACACCGACAGTCTGTCTTTATCCTATCCCCGTAGTTTCTTATGGGGGGCCAGGTTCAATTATTTATTTCCGAGACTACAGTTGATTGGCGAAAGTTTTTGTAGTTTATCTATTTACTCATTTAGCTTGGATAGTAGGCGTCGGAATTCGTTTTCTTTTTTTTCATCTAAATGTTCACCTCCGGAAGTATTTCAAATGATTGCCACACTGTCAGTCATTCAGTCCAACTCTGTTCTAGCTTGATTGGATCTCGGGGTTCTTCTGTCATGTTTTTTTCTATTTGTTTAGTACTGATTTTGGTTCATTTCTATACCAGCGGCAATCGTGAATAGATCCCCCTCGTTGATACTCGGTCATTGACTTTCCTAAGTGATGCGGAGTGACATCACTTCTTTGCCGTTTATAGTTTTCCTCCTTAGTCACTTTGTGAATCCTGAGTAAGTTTAGTTCTCTTTCACCTTTTTCACATCGCACAATATTTTCACATTACATATGAGTACGAAAAATCAACTGTTATTCAAATGGCTATTAGGAGTAGACCGATGTATTGTTGTATTGTACCGAATTGAACGACCTCTTCCTGCTACGAATTGCAACTGAACGGGATTTATCGTTGCCAATCGATTTTCTCTGCGTTTACTATTTTCATTCGAAACTCGAGGCCATCTTAACTACCTCTGTTCCATTCACACTGTCCCTAGCATTCCTTTCATCTCTTATATCCTAAATGTTTGTCTTTCACTGATTGACGCCCTCACGATCCTGTTTGTACTTCAGTTCACGAAGTTCTGGTCAACTAATGGCCAGCGGGGCGTTTCCTTCACCTATCCTTAATATGGACTCACAAGCCATCAGTTTGCCCGAGCTCCCGGCAGACGGGAAACCGGACGCGCCGTTTGATGAATCCGAGCTCGGTTCTGTGGAAGAACAGAAACACGTTGTCCTGCACTTGCTTTCTCAGCTCAAACTGGGCATGGATTTGACCAAGGTATGTGGTCTGTGATCAGATTTTCCTCCAAAGCTATGATCGTTAGAACTCTCATAACCTTTTCTGGACTCAGCGGGTTGAAGGGTGGCTGTTGTTTCTTTGTGTTCTGGCATATAGAGGTTGGACTCCAAAAGTAATAGGACACTACCGATCCCACCTGTTGCCACCTTTTTTATTAGACGCCACTGTGTGATGAACAGCAGACGGAGCAGACCCCATAGTCACGAAAACCTGCTGTTCAGTGATTTTTAACCGGCAACTCGGGACTTAAAATACAACCGGTCGATCTTTCACTTCATCGGGCAGATCGATATACCGTTCGTTCATTCAATGGTCTAATTCTCAAAAAAATTCGAAGTTATATACACATACACATCGATAGGGAAAAGTGCTAATTCACAAGTCTTTTCTTAGAGAACTTGATAATGAGTGTACAAGAGACAATGAGCCGGGAACTGTACGAAATGTCATTGTTTTTGTGTGAATGTAATCTCGGAACAGATCTCCGGGAACTGGGTACAGGTTTTTTTGATTTCGTAATGCAGATACAGATTTTTATCACGTTATTCCATCATAAACCTAGTAGTGATCTTCGCATCACACTTTTGGCTCTTCCGGGACTTCCGCCATTACGGAAATAAAAAACTGAAATGCAACAGGAAAGCGAGTTTGAAGTATTATTATTTTTACTATTTAGTTATCACAGGGACTTGATAAACATAATATTGTTAATTATTCTGGTGATGGCACCTTACACAATAATAAATAATGTAGCTGGGGTTTTTCTGTCTCTACTGTGTATGCTAATAAACAGTAAAACTGCCATAGACCGAGTTACTTGATGAACTTCGCCTAAAATTTTGTACCGACGGGCTTATCACCCAAGGTTTTGAACTACTTCTGGGATCCAATGCTGGTCACCTGAGGCTGGTTTCGAATCGATCGGATCGCACACGCTTCGAATTCGCGTGACTCGTTCCATCGCCCAAAACACTCGACCCATTAAAAGTCTCATAGTCTGGTTACACACAAAAGAGTGGTTTAAGGTTGTCAGTCGAATTTCGCTGTCGCGAACATCGCTTGCGACCATTTGAAACTTGAGGTCACATTCCGTTCTCTATGTGGTGATCAACATCAGATTGGAATCCGATGTTGATAATGCATTATTTACGTGCTTAAAATTAGAAGTACATATACGAGCAATCCTGGTTGCAGCTGTAGTGTGGGTTGTTTGTATCAGCAGAACATCGGAGAACATCATGGGTTGATTTCCATTGCAGTTTGTGAAAATAACTTCGATCCAGTTTCATTTTACCAACGGTATAACGAAACAGTTAGGTAGATCTCCGGCCCCGTACATGCTTACGTCACGCAGGAAGAACGAAAAAAAGCGACCAGCCACCAGCTAATGACTTAGAGAATACTTCGTTGAATGATCTGAACTGCAACAGGGAGATCAGCGTATGCTATTTCCAAGTGTTACCCTTAGATTCTACTTTAATAAAACTGCTCCCTGCACCTTTGGGTGTTATGTTGAATGAATGTTTTCTTTCTCTGTTTTTTTGTTCAACTTTCCCATTTGTGATTTTGTCCTCTTTCTCTTATCATCTATCTTATTCCTGATGTGATTTCCAATCGTGACAATGAACCGCCCATCTGCTGATTGTAGAAGTTAAACGCTTCCTTCCTCAATTTATCGAATAAAAAACTCTTCGCTTCACGATCCGAGATTCGTAAATCGTATTTATTCTATTACACCATAGTGATCAGTTGCCAAGGTGTTTGTTTACTATGTTACTTGGATGCAGAATTTTCCTACATTAGAAATCATCGGGTAATACTACTTCATAGTCCTTCTGGTGCTGCTTCCTCTCATGGTTCGTTGATTCTTAGTGACCAATCAAAATGAAATCGAAAACCCTAAGCTGCGCTACGCATGCCACTAAATAGGTTGTTAACGAAGTACAAGACATCCAAGACAATGGGTCACATAGGTCCCATTAGGCTCCTTGGATGGGACTTTGATATAATGGTAGCCGGTGGTCGGAGACGTTAAGTGTTGCGAACAGCTGCACTCTTGAATCTACTCTATATATTTCGCGAATCACTATCTATTTAGTGGATTCCAGATTACATTCATATAAATGTATCAATCTCGTATAGAACCTCTATCGCATGTTAAGAGATTCACCTTCGAAAATAGCCATTTCTATGGGCCATATTCGAGCAATTAGTGGTTCAAGCTGACCAATGTAGCTTGTTAGAATGCCAAAGGCAAAAGTTATAGTCAAATGATCAAAGTTTAGTCTACCGTTGGTCAAACTTCGGTGACTGCATCATTTAGGCCATTCGATATTATAAGACCGATAGATAATTTGTGGCAATCAGTCGCCACTCCATGAAGGACGTGTCCGAAACATGGATATCATTTTACGAATTGGAAACATGATAAAAAGATATTCCGTGTTTGTTTGATTGACTTTATTAGTCCTGATCTGTCCAATCTGATCAGCAATGGCCAACTTCTTAAATCTGGATCTGCAACACTCTTTTAGGCTCTTTTACACATTCAATCACGTTTACGAAAGCCTACGTGGTTCACAAGCTTTCTTCTCGAAACCGGGTCTGTATTTTCGTCCATTTTGTTGAATCACGCTTTACCAAATAATTTTATTTTGACTTCCTATTGCGTGTATCAGAAAAGCTATCCTAGGTCTGTTCGGTTTTTTCCTATCGCTGGTGTTCTGTTATAGGGGTCACAAAGACCGTAACACTGAAAGTACCGCACCAAGTCGTGGAATGCCACCACCACCAGAGGTATAGAACTACAAGAGCTTAAGTTCCTTGTTCTCTCTCTCTCTATCTCTCTCCTTGAGTTGCCATTTTCCTTCACTGATCCCTCGGCGACAACGTATTTCGTGACACATACATGCTCGCGACTTCGGTAGTCAATCGATCGATACAAGCGCCACTAAGGTTACTGAGTATGATCACTTTCTGTTAATTATTGGACACGCATCAATTTGCTATTTTATTGATCGGTTTTCCGCACACTATTCATCACGATACCCTGTTTGATCCCGAAAACAAGACACAGCTGAAATTGGTTTGCTTCACATGACTCNTGAATGTGAGAAGTCAAACACCAGACTGATGGAATATCTTTGGAGTCGTGCGCTATACCAATGCTGGTTTTTTTTAACATTTCTCTCAGGCGATGCCTGCTTCAGTTTCTTGAACTGTGTTTTTGTTGTTGTTGAAATGGAACACACTCAAAGACAACTGGGATAGCAATGAAGAAACATAAGTTTTTCATGATAGCGGAGTTGCTGAACGTTGGAGCGGTTCATGTGCTTCACAGCCCCACGCAAGGGATTCGTTTGGATGCCTCCCCCCTGAGACTTTCCATTGTGTGAGTGCATCATAATATGTCTGTCCGTCTGTCTCTTGTCGCATCAGTAAACTGTGTTCGACCCTAATTAGTTTCAAACGCGCAGTTAAGTTTGATACGCTCACAAGAAAGGCCCATGCATATTTATGCACCACGGAGGAAGATACGTTTTCATGTCGATAGGATCCGGTGAACTGGACACCGGTCACTAATGAATCGGGGTTTTCACTCCCCGCTCACTGTCTTGGGGGATCAGAGTTTCTCGACCGAACGCTGTGGTTGTGAATCTACCTAGAAAATGCACCTGGTTTGGCCCCAGCAGAATGGCAGTTTTCTGTCCAAGAGCGAATCATGGACCGATATCTTGGTTAGAGATATTGTTGTTCTGGTAATCCATTAGTACAGTCTGACTCTTGTGAAATATAATCTATGACATACAGATGGACCTGGGGTTCTTGTACATCGAAGTCAGAGTCTCAAACTGGCCAAGTCAGTTTTTCAGTTTCACCACTGCAGCACAACTTGTGAGGTAATACACACACCTGTGAGTGATTTGGACGCACCAATAAGCGGTTATTAGACTCCTACAAAATTCCCGAGTGGATTTACTTTTGCAATCACAGACAATGCACATCTGCTGACGGACCGTTCCAATGATTACCCCGAGTGCTTGTGGGACTTCTGAAAACTTGTTTCAAAGGAGATATTTCGCTACATGTATGCCAATTCACTGAGTCTCTTATCGTTATTTGTAAGAAATATCTGTCGTCGTCCCGGCACTACCTGGTGGGTATATAAGAACACTAATTAAAAATATACGCTAAGGGTCTATAGCTTTTAACCGCTTGTTCAATTCAGTGGTGAACTGAGAACTAATAAATCAATTTAAGCCGTTTGAGAATCTGGCTATTTCATGTATAGCTATTACTGACGCACCTTTATACACATCCTTATTTTAAATTCTGTTCACTCAGCTTGTTATTTGTCAGTAGATACACTCCAGTTAAATGAACAGAAAAATTGTGATTATGGTTGTGATAGCTTGTCGCACAAAACGCTTCCAGATCGATATAAAAGTTCGACGCAAATGTTTTTCAGTTTCTATTCCGTATTTTTCGTATTTTTTCAGAAATTCATGTTTCCATTGCAGATTGTCCTACTTTTGATCTGGTCAATTATGCCGGAAAGCAGCATTACTACTACATGACCCTGGTAATGTCAAACCGACGACTCATCTAACATTTACCATTTTTATCTCCTTTTGTTCTTAGATTGTGCTGCCGACTTTTATCCTAGAGAAACGATCCTTACTGGAAATGTTCGCCGACTATATGGCTCATCCGGATCTATATCTGCGGTGAGTTATTCTCAGTGTTAACCATCCTAATGCGAAACGGTTATGGTGAAGCACAGCTTTTCAATCGTACCTATGCAAAATGAACGATCGCATCGATCGTTTGACTTAAATGATCGATTTGCCAGCTATTCTGTCAGTCTTGCGCTTCCAACAATATGTCTTAAACATTGAATCTCTCGACAAGAGTTCACTCACTACACTTGTCCACACCTGAGCATATATTAGTCCGTAAATAGGTGTTGCATTTGATAAGGCTTGTGTGTAACTTGAGTGGAGATATCAGTCTCCATGATTCGTTTCGCGTGCTCATAGAATCCGTAACATCGTGGCATCCTGTCCATTCTGTTCCTTTTTAAATTCCGCCAATTTTTACATTAGCGCATTAGCCACTCTGCACGAAAATGCCACAGAAGACAGTTATCACCTGTGTTAACTAATGGATCTCTGCTAATATAACTGTTATTTGAGAGTAATTTCCTTTTCGGTTTCAATGCAAACCGGTTTTTTGCTTGTGGTAGCCAGCCTTGGTGTTATCCGTCGTAGTTTCATCCATCTTACGGGGGCATTTTGTTCGTCTTTCTGATTCCCACGTTCTTCTGACCACACACACCTCCAGATCTAATGGTAGATCATGGGGAAAATTGGACTTCCTTTGTTGTTCAAAATACAAATCAATATGCTGCTTTCACATTATACTTCCGGTAGGATGGGTGCACAGCGTAGAGACACGTTTAAAAAGTAGATATCATGTTCCGTACTTGGGCTATAAAGTCAAACGTTGTATGTTTTTGCACTGTCCCAATGCATTTTCGCTCTAGTTGCGTTGGACAAGCGTTTCTCTGTTTTATCAGTTGGTGATGGCGCAATGATTTAGTCGCTTTCACCGGCGTGCTTTTACCCCTCTGGTCCAAGTTCCGAGCCCTGACCCGCCACCCAACTTTGGTGGTAGATACCTTTGCCGCCGTCCGGTTCAATACCGGGACCTTATGTGGTTCGCCACTCCAAATCCCGGGGCTTAGGTCACTCGTTTCCATCACTGGGCAGCAGGTCTTCGTGACTATGGGGTTCACCCTATCTTCTGTTGATCAGATAAGTATTTTTAATGAAAAAAGACAATCGTGTTCTCGCTGAACGATTATACACATACATCATCGAGGACCCTCTCAGCTGATGAAGTCGTCCTTTTATTAAATTTGTTAGTATCTAATACGAACCGATTGCGACTATTGTTAAAGTATTCGATTGTTTCACGATATCGTCACATACTGCTGTTCACCACTGTTGTCGCGTAAACCTTCTGCGTCAAAGCTTATTATAAAATTAACAGTGTATACGTTATCAAATATTTGTCACATCTTACGTCAAAGGTGAGATACACATTAAATCTGCCGTTAATTTTGTGTTGCTTCATACCATTTCACACAAGCATGGCATACAGCATACGCGAGAATCATCGGTAGCACGTTGTTACTCAGATGTGATCTAAACCACGTGTTTCAAAGCGCTGTTTTTCTGTAGAGATTGTTGTACCATAATTTGTTTTGTCACAATCTGAACTCAGACAGGTGTAAAAGAAAATAAATCATTGTTTCGTGCGTGGTTTCATATGAATCAATAGTTCATTGTTTTTTATAGAAACTAATGAATTGATAGATTCGACATCGACTAGATTGCATCTGTCGTTGTTTAAAGGGAAAAATAGTAAGAAGCGGATATTTAGTTACAGTTGTCATCCTCGAAGATCCATGCAATTTCACCTATTTTTCTGATCAGTGTAACCCACTCACGATGAATATTTTTCTTTATGTCACACATTTTAAAGTCATAACCGACAGTGGGGATTCAGCTCACCTCCCATTCAGCTAATGTAAACCGAAATTTTATTATTGGGTCTCGGGAGTCAAACAAGCGAAAAAGGCCGTGATGTTAATTTATGGGAGATCCGTTCAGTCAGATAATAGTGTACCCCCGAAGTAAAATGATGGTAATGGTAATATGCAAAACTTTGGCCTAGTGATAACCACTGTTTATTTCATACACCTCTGAATAAGGAATATGTGCCAAACAAAAGTACAATAATCGGTAAAAAGAAAAATATTTCATGATTTGTTTGTGGTTGGTACACTGCCCGGTTGCCCAGGCCAACGCACGTTCATCGAATCACACGCCTTTTGTGCTCGGGAGTCAGGATGCTCGTTGAAACTGCTTTGTTCTGGCACAACCAATCAGAACATCGGTAGGCGAACTCTGGTAATCGGCCGAACCGCCAACCAATCGAGATGGTTGGCAACAATCCAGTCAACCAATTGTTTGATGTATGTACTTCCTTGTCCTCGCTCTTTCCTATAAATAAGCATTATTTTCTCATAGATAAATTCCTGCACGCTTCCAGCTATATTCTATTTCACTACCAGTAGAGTTCTTATCTGGAAGAAAAACGTTACCGGAAGATGATCCTTTGAGAATCCAGTATTGAAAAGATCCTGTGCGGTTACAACACTTTGAACGGGTTTGAACGTCTAAGGTTCCCAGTACACCTCAATGCTCATAAGAGCTGTGACCGCTGACACCAAGAAGGTGTGCGTATGTACGGTTTATGTGCCTCTTCTTGGTTTGTTTGGAATATTAGTTTTTAGCCAACTCTAGTTGAACTGCTAGTGGTTCACGGACCCGGTCATAGCACCAAATGTTAGCTTTTTGGATAAACAACTTTCCAACGTGAAGGCAGTGAGTAGGGCATAGGTTATTGGAAACGCTTGGTCGTATAAGAGCATTTTGCGAGGTGCAAGGGAAGGATGATCACCCACAACGCGATACACCCACTCCGGACCGTTTTGTCGCTTCCCGAGGTTGACCGCTCTTTCATTTCGTGTTCTGACTCAATAACGTAAAACAATTTGCACAACTTTCGTCTACTCCAGATTCTCACCATGAAAATATTTTTTACTGATTTCTTATATGGAGTCTTAAGCTCGTCCGCATACCCCACCGATACTGTTTTGTGCATTTTTCCGCCACAGTATCACTCTAGCTCCGGATCCGGAGTCTCGAATGATCGCGTTTGTCCAGTGGTATGTAACAACGTTTCATGCGGGGCGCAAGGTAAGATTTCACGTTCGCATTTTCATCATGTTTTGCGTACGTGCATTACTATCTGATTGATGTGCTCCATTGCTTACCAGTGTCTGCTCTATGGAAAATAATCTATTTTCATGCATTCACCGCTGGACATCGCATTTGGATATGAGGGTGATAAAAATGGATGATATGATGTAAAATTCGGCGAAGATCGCGGTCAACTGTGGGGCTTTCTGAATGGTTCACCCTACATGTTTTTTGTTGTTGACTTGAGTCGATGTCACTGATAATACGCTTTCTTCAGAGTGTCTTACGTGCGACCATCGCCGTAATCTTTTAGGGCCCGAATAATGAGAAAGATCAAACGTTAAAGCATTTCTGACTTCGACTTCTTCAGGCCATTGCACCAACGCTGTCTCGGAAATTGCAAGTAACAATTGCTCCAGCAGCCGGGGACAAATTTGTGCCACACCTTTCCTGTGTATTGGAGAGGTGTTGTAGCTTGTTCGCTTCCACTGGAGGATGGCTATATGCCTGTATTCGGACGCTATTATCACATTGTAATTGTAGGCTTCAAGCCTACATTTCAGTTAAAAATATACAAAACAGTGAAAATTGATTTATATCTCAAAACCTTTAACAGGGCCTGTGAACACTTGTTATTTGGTAACCGGAATACGTGCTAAATAGGGTAACGTAGTGTTGCGATGTTTTATTTGAGTGGGAACACAACGGTATGGGGTTCTACTTGACGGATGGGTAGCACAGGAATCTGTGTGTAACGGAAGTATGGAGTCGTTCAAAATCTTGTGTACGAACTTTGCATATTCGTTTAAATGATATTCACAGATTAGTTACCAACTCCTCCAGTGGGGTTGCGAAGGATCAGAAGAATCGGAGATGGCCTGACATAAACCCAGATCCTCAGTGCACTTAAAACGACAAGTGGGGGGCGTTAACAAACGAAGCGCTGATGTAGGTGGAAAATAAGTATGGCTAAGAACCGCATCTAAGAGTACTCTAGAATTGGCCACTAATGATTCGGACTTTCTCCGACCTAACCTGATGCATTGCGTTCTCACGGAGAGCTAATCAGCAAAACCAGGCTAATAACTAATTTCGACAGCCAGAAAGCCTCCAGTCCACGAAGAAGAAGGGAACGAGGAATAGAATTAAAAGCAGAAACACAAGAAACATTT